GTGAGTCATTGGTAAATAAAGAGTAGTTTTAGTTGATTAGTGAGGTCAAGCCATTTTTCATGTTTAAGTGTGACTTTCTGTGTATTTCCTATTTATATCTTTTATCCATTTTTTTTCTCCTAGATTTTAGTATTCTACCTCTTAATTTTTAGAAGTTTTTATTCATGAGATTAACCTTTCGAGATACACTGTTTCTCGTTTGTCACCTATCTTTTGACTTATATTTTGGCAATTTTCTTTGGGTTTGCTGTGCTGTTTTTTTTTTATGTACTCAAATTTATCAACCTTTTTCTTTAAAGGTTCTGAATTTGGATCAAAATTAGAAAGTGTTCCTTGTCCCCAAAAAGAATTTACACATCTTTCACCTGGCATTTACATGAGTTCATTTCATTACTGTTATTTAGATCTCTGATTCATTTTGCATTTTATTCTGGTAACTCTGGTGTTTAGTTTAAAAAATGACCATCCATTTATCCCAATGCTGTCCATTAAAGATTGTAACTTTCAGTCAGGCATGGTGGCAACACTCTTTAGTCTCAGTGACTTTGGGGACCAAAGTAGGAGAAGCCCAGTTAAAGGCCAACCTGAGCAATTTAGTGAGAACCTGACTCAAAATAAAATTTAAAGAAGGCTGGGGATGTGGTTCAATGGTAGGATACCCCTGAGTTCAATCCACAGTAACTGAAAGAAAAAAATTGTAACTTTCCCTTCAGTGATTTCTGATGCTGCTTTTGTTATATTTAAATCTCTTTCTGGTTTTCTATGTTCTGTTCCATTGGTCTTACATCAGTATCGCACTGCTTTAATGATATGGATTTTATAGCTTTTTAATATTTGGTACGGCCACCTTCCTTTCTAAATGTTTTTTTTTTGTGTGTGTGTGTATGTGTGTGAGAGAGAGGGAGAGAGAGAGAGAGAGAGAGAGAGAGAATTTTCTTGCATGTTTTAAATTATTTATTTTTCTTTTAAACCTGAGCAATAACTGATCTAGCTCTGGGGAATAGCTACTAGTATTTTTATTGGAGAAGAAGTCATCTCTTCCAGGAACATGGGTTTTCTTTACTTATTTAATTCCACTTTTCTTCTGTCTTACCAAATTGCTTTCTGGTATTAATTATACATATAATTCACATATTTTATATGTATCATAACCTACAATTTAATGTTTAAGTTATATGATAATTATATATATGATCTCGTATATATATGAGATCTGTATTATTTTTATTTAAAAGCTTTTTATCATAGATAATTCAAACAAATTTTATTAAAATAATGTAATGAGTCTCATGTACTGTGACACAGCTTCAACAATGAACATTTGTTTTTTTATAGCTGGAATTCTTGATTTATAAGGTTGGTCTCATCCTTGACTCCATTTAGCTTCACAGTGTATATTGCTCTGGTCATTGTGAATCATAGAATTGTTTGTAGGTGAACTTCATTGGTTATCTCTTCTATTGCCTTTTTCAAAATGAAGAATTCATGCTGATTGTTGAACTGTTTTATATAACAAGTAATGTTTCAAAGAGCATATATAACAAAACAAATGAAATTCTGTTCTCTATCAAAGTACAGTTTTTGAAAATTAAAAATCATAAATTTAAAATGAACATATGTCAAAGATTTTAATTGGATTCATTAATTAGTGAGAAAACCAGAAAATTGGTAACTGGTTCTATGTATTTGAGAAACAGGTTTTATATGGTCCTTCCTTTTAGACACACACACATACACACACACACAGAATAAGATTGCTATGTCAGAAACAAAACTAGTTAATGTCCCTTTGGGTTGGGTTTTTGTTTTTTGTTTTTGTTTTTGTTCTCTATCAATGACTCACATTCCAAGCTCCTTTTTATTTTTTATTTTGAGACAGGTCTTGCTAAATTGCTGAGGCTAGCCTTGAAACTGTGGTCCTCCTGTCTCAGCTCCCAAGTTGCTGGGATTACAGGCATGCACCACTGGTCCCAGCTTAGGTTGTCCTTTGTTTTGGTCAGAAATTACTTACATATCTTCTGGGCACAAACTTACAAGTTAATATGTAATTTCTGAAAGTCTGAATTCTTATTTTTAAAAATTTATTTATTCTAATCAGTAATACTTCATTTTATACAAATGGAGCACAATTTTTGACTTCTCTAGTTGTACCCAAAGTAGGGTCACACTTTTTGTGCAATCATACATGTGCCTAGAATAATGATGTTTGTCATTTCACCATTTCACCATAGTGATAGGAAAGATGGTGAAATGACAAACATCATTACTCTAGGCACATGTATGATTGCACGAATGGTGTGACCCTACTTTTTGGTACACTACCATCATGTTCCCTCCCCTCCTCCCCTTTGCTCCAACCAACCATCCAAAGTACCTTCATTCATCCCATGCCCCTCCCATATTATAGATTAACATCCAATTATCAGAGAAAATTTGGCCTTTGGTTTTTTGGGATTGGCTTGATTCACTTAGCATGATCCATTTACCTGCAAATGCCATAATTTTATTCTTTTACTGCTGAGCAATACTTTATTGGGTATATATAACTCAATTTCTTCATCCATTCATCTATTGAAGGACATCCAGGTTGGTTCCACAGTTTGGCTGTTGTGAATTGTGCTGCTATAAACATTGATGTGGTTGCGTTACTGTAGTATACTGTTTTCAAGTACTTTGGGTATAGACTGAGGAGTGGGATAGCTGGGTCAAATAGTTCCATTCCTGGTTTTCGAAGGAATGTCCATACTGCTTTCCACATTTGTTGCACCAGTTTGCAGTCCCACCAGCAATGTATGAGCGTGCCTTTTCCCCCACATCCTCGCCAATATTTATTATTGTTTATATTCTTTATAGTTGCCATTCTGATTGGAGTGAGATGAAATTTTAGAGTAGTTTTGATTTGCATTTCTCTAATTGTTAGAGATGTTGAACATTTTTTCATATATTTGTTGATTGATTGTATATCTTCTTCTGAGTAGCGTCTGTTCAGCTCCTTAGCCAATATATTGATTGGATTGTTTCTTTTTTTGGTGTTAAGTTTTTTGAGTTCTTTATATATCCTGGAGATTAGTGCTTTATCTGATGTGTGTGTGGCAAAAATTTGCTCTGAAAATATTGGTTCTGTGTTTACCTCATTGATTGTTTCCTTTGCTGAGAAGCTTTTTATTGAATTCTTTATTAATAGTAAGTAGATAATAGTAATTGGCATATTTCTCTAGAAAATTAAGTAATCCTTAGACATGTTAAACCAAAGTAGGAAATGATAGTGGTTTAAATTTTACCTGACAGTTGATTTTATAAAGTTTCTTTGGAACACAGTCACACTCCCTTAATTTGCATGTTGTTTATGTCTGCTTTTGCACTCAAATGGCAGAGCTGCATAGTTACATAGACTACTGGCCCACATACAATTAGGTATCTGTCCTTTGGCCCTTTATAGACAAGCTTACCAATTACTGTAATCGCTTCAGGATGATACTGAAAGGACATATTTGGCAGTTGAGGCCTTTCTCTCAGGATTGAGATTTGTTTTTTTGTTTGTTTTTAGAATCCAAGTGGACATATGCTGTGATAACTGGGCATGATGATGTATACCTGTAATCCCAATTGCTCGGGAAGCTGACACAGATAGATTACAAGTTCAAAGCTGACCTAAGCATTTTAGTGTGGCCCTAAGCCTCTATCTCAAAATTTTAAAAAAAAAGAAAGAAAGAAAGAAAAAAAAACTGGGGATATGGCTCACTGGTTATACACCCCTGTATTCAATCCATTGTAAACCCCCCCCCAAAAAAAGAATCTGCTCTGATATTTTGATAGTTTATTAACCTCTTATTGCCCACTCTTCTTTTCTGTGTTTTGTGTCTTTGGTGTAGCCACATTTCTAGTTTTTTCATGTCTTTTCTTTTAGAACTCTTCTTTTCTTCTTGCCCAGTATTTCACTTTATTTTTTTCTCTCCCTAACATTGACCATAATAGTAATGTTAGTATATTTAAAATATTTATCGTATTGGTAAAATCTTATATTCCTTGTCTTTAATTTAGGTGAGTATAAAAATTGCCTCAAAATAAACACAAACTACAAATCAGCTGGAGTTACCAAAATTTTTTTGTGTTTTTTATTTTATTTATTTATTTATTTTTTTTAAAGAGAGAGTGAGAGAGGAGAGAGAGAGAGAAAATTTTTAACATTCATTTCTCAGTTCTCGGTGGACACAACATCTTTGTTGGTATGTGGTGCTGAGGATCCAACCGGGCCGCAGGCATGCAAGGCGAGTGCACCTCCACCTGAGCCACATTCCCAGCCCTTTGTGTGTTTTTTAAATTGATATTGCCTGCCATTAACAACTCCCCATCCCACTCCCACGCTGATTTATAGCTTTCAATTGAAGAAGTTGTTCCCTACACTACTTTTTTTTGGTGGGGGTGGTACTGGGGATTGAACTCTGGGACACTCGACCACTGAGCCACATCCACAGCCCTATTTTATATTTTATTTAGAGACAGGGTCTCACTGAGTTGCACCTTAGCACCTCACCATTGCTAGGCTGGCTTTAAATATATGATCCTTTTCTCACAGCCTCCTCGATGCTGGGATTACAGCGTGTGCCATTGTGCTTGGCTTCCCTACACTACTTTAATTGAAGAAAAGAAGTGGGAAAAAACATGGAATAAAGAATTTTCTTGCCTTAAAATGTCATGTTTTAGAATAATTTAAAACTTGTATAAAGCATCTTGGAAGATACAGAACAGCTATTTAGTTTACATTGAGTAAATATTAGTAGTTACTTGGCACATAAAATTATAGAACTAGAATCCTACTCAGTAAATTTTGTATTTTCCTAAGGGGTTTTTAATCTAACGTGCTTTTCTATTTAGAAAAATGTTAGTGTAGGTATTCAGATAATCATTATTTATTCTTACAACCTATGTGAAATCAGAACTGGTGATTAATTAAAAACATAAAGTAATAACTGCATAATAAATACTTTTTCATTCTCAAGATAAAGCAGAAGGAGAGAAAGAATAATTCTGACACTTTATATGAAGTTGTATGCTTGGAAAGTGAATCAGAAAGAGAAAGAAGGAAAACCACAGCCAGTCCTTCAGTTCGCTTGCCACAGTCTGGATCTCAGAGCTCAATGATACCTTCTCCTCCAGAAGATGATGAAGAGGAAGGTAAATGGAGTGCTAAATTTATATTTGAGGGCAGAGGACCTGGCAGACTACAGCATTATGTTATGGAGTTGATAATGACGCCTGGCATTTGGAATTCATTCAGTGTCTCCTATGTCTTAGAGCAATGGGAGATTAAAAAATGATTAACATTGGAAATTCTTTAAAATCAAATTGGTAAAATTAGGTTGTATAATTAGTGTTTTTTAAATAATCAGTTTAGTTTTAACTGGTTGGATTAGCACAGTTTTAAAACTATAAGACACAGCTCTAAGTAAACATTTTCATTTCAACTGACTCCTTTTACAAGAACTATTCAAGTGCCAAAACATGACTTCCACATATACCCTTTTACCAAACATTTTTTCTACACACAGTTGTATATTATTGTGTTTCCGGGCTGATAGACAATTTATTGGTTCATTTTTCTTTTTGTTTCTTTATTTCATGACTAGATCTATTGAATTGTCCTGTCAGTTTTATTAAGACCTGGTGTATAGAAGTGTGGGAAGAAAGCACAGAGCACAGAAGAAGTGAACATTCATATTTCAATTTATAACTTTGTACCTGGGCTTAAAGATCAATTCTGAGGTCATAAAATGCTTGTATCTGTGTGAGGTTTGCAGGAAATGTTCTGGAAATTTATAGAGAATCAATTTTTCATTGTGGAATATATGGTGGTACATCACGAAGAATAGTTTTGAGCTGGGATTTTAAAATGCAAGAAGAATTCATCAGGGATAAATGGGCTTCTTTAGACATTTCTTTTCAAAAAATTGCATTAACAAAGATATGGAGATGGGAAGAATGATTGGTTTGGTTTAAAGAAATGTATATCCATGATTATATGTACTTTTTTTCAAATTTAGAGTCAGCACTGATAGCCAGTTTCCATTGTTCTGTTGAGTAATCACCTTCTAGTGAGTAATCACCTAAGAGTCATGTATTAGTAATACCAATGGCCACTAGTTACTTGATGCATATTATGTGGTAGGCAGATGCTTTGTTTATTTTATATAGTCCTCAAAACAACAGTAATTCTGAAAATAGAACTTATCCTCATTTTATACATAAAGAAATGGAATCTTAGAAAAGCGAATTTTCCCATGGTTACAGAGTAGAAGAATTTGGAGGTCTTGACTTGAATCCAGATCTAAGCTTCCACAGTCTGAGTTACAGTCTATCACAGTCTCTTGCATTTATTTCTCATGAAGCATTTTGAAATGCAGGAAAGGTACATACGTTGTTTTGAAGTCAGAGATGCAGTTTAGAGTCCCCTGCAGAGCCACTTTAAGTTAATGTGATCTACATGGGAATGGTGGAATTGTTCCTCTGTTTGAGACTATCTGCTGTATAAATGGTAGTCTCAAGAGTTACAGTTTCTCTTCTAAGTAATACTGGTTAAAATTGCAGGCTGGCAAAATGTTTACATAACTCTCCTCCCTTTAACTAAGCAATGAAAACAAAAGAACCAAAAATGAAGAATGATACTCCCTTTGTCATGAAATCAGAGAATGCTCAAATCTTCATACTGTAGATTTTGAGGATTATCTGTTGGTTACAAAGAAATTTGGGCTCAACTAAAGGTTGCCATCTAATTTTAATCTATAGTAGGCAGAGATTTTTCTTATTTTTGAGGGGATTCAAAAGGCCCCTATTGATGGTTCTTAATTAGGGAGAGATGGGACTAACAGCAAAAATCAAAGCGTATCTGCTTTTATCCCATATTGTTTCCCTGGTGTGTACCACAACACTTGGTATGCAGTGGGTGACCAATAAATATTGGCAGGCTGAGCTGTTCCCTAGGATCCATTTCCAAAGTTTTTCCATAGTAAAAAAAAAAAAAGTGACAGGTGAGCTTCAGAAGAAATTGCAGGCATGCCATTTTCCAGTTCTCTCTAATCCAGATTACAAACCAGGGAAACTGCCTTCTTGTGTTCTGATTGCTACCTGGTAAGAAAAGACTAGTTCTCTAGAGAGGCTTCTTACTCACAGGACAATAGAAAACAAGCAATTATAAAATGGAGTTTTTCAAAAGCACCATTCTGAAACTCAGATTGCCTTTTGGTTCCCCATCTTTCTTCCATTTTATGCAGAATGGGACTCTACACATAGATTTCAAATTGCTACTATCTAGATTTGTTGAAATCATCCAGAAAAGTAAAAGAAAATTTTTGAAAGATGGGTCTTCCTAGTCTGTTTGAAGGAATTGTGATTCCTTGTAAATTTTAATTTTTTTTTAAGAATTTCTTTTTTAGGTGTAGATGGACACAGTACCTTTATTTTGTTTGTTTATTTTTTTAATATGGTGCTGAGGATCGAACCCAGTGCCTCACACATGTAAGGCAAGCGCTCTACCATTGAGCCACAACCCCATCTTCCTCAAAAGAATTGTATCTAGTATATCAGTACTTGAATAAGTAGAAAATTATTTGAAGGATTAAAGTAGTCTGGAAAGCTAATTAAAGTTGGGGAAAATTTACCTTAGTGCCCTCGAGCCTTTTTCTTTTCTTTAAATTTAAATTATTCATCCATTTACAGAAATCTCACATCTTTTTCTGTCTCACCATTGAAACTAATGATAACGTCCAAGGCACTGTGTAAAGAAATTTTATAATAAGTAGCATGGGCTTCTGAGTCTTTAAAATCAGATCTCAGATACTGCCTTCTCTAGTAACAGTTCAAATTCATGATGCAGTCATCAGAGGTTTGCCAGATTTTGTGTAGGTATGTTGAGTGAAAAACAAAATAACAAAACCCAGCTTGACGAGGACACGTGGAATCAAATACTGTCGCACCTAGTTAGCAGAATGTAAATTGGTAGAACCATTTTGGAAGACGGAGTCAGAAAATTTCAAAATTTTCCACTTTTGGGCATATGTCCAATGAATTAGTATATCCATTCTGATACTGTTTATAGCAAAAAAGGTGAAAATATCTCTAGTATCCAACAGAAAAGAATTGTCTTGGTCTATATTTTTTTGTCCTTTCATTATTCTTTTCATGCCTGTGTCAGTGTCACTGTTTTGTTTTTGGTTGGATTGCTTTTGGTGCTGAGAAATGAACCAGAACTTCACACATGCTCAGCATGTGCTTTACCACAGAGCTACCTCCCTAGCCTTCAGTATCACTTTTTTCACAGTCTTCATTCATATCTTATAATCTCTAAATTCTTACTTGAACCTACTTTTCTTTGCATAAGTTTCAAGTAGTTCATCTTGGTCCTTTTAAAATATTTTTGTGCTTTCTATTAATGTGTACCATTTTGTAGAAGACTTAGAAAGTCATAGATATATAACAGAAAAGTATCAATCATAACTCTCAGAAACAAGAATTATTAATGTTGTGGTGTAGTTCATTCTAGTCTGTTCAATTTTTTAACAGACACATGGAATATTTAATTTCATTTTTATGTGGTATTTCGCATGTCATTGTGTAATCATGTCATCATGCAGTTACCTTGTATACATGTGTCATAATTTATTCCATCATTCTCTACTCTCCTCTTTTGAAGATTTAGGTGCTTCAAAATTTTAAACTGGTATAAATAAAAGTGTATTATTTCCATACATAAAGCTACTTGCTTTGGAATAAGAATGAGAACATACCATATCTTGAGTCTTATAATTTTATTATTAAATACTCTTTTCTATAACTGACATATTATGTATGGACCTATATGAAAAGCAAAAGAAAATCAAAGAGGTTACAAAAATAGGACCATTTTAATTTTATTTGTAATTATGGCTGTATACTCCCAGTAGAGTCTTTAAATTTGACTGTTAAATTCCCATGTCATTCTTTTGGCTAGTATAGCCTCTTCTGTTATCCTTTTTTATGTGTTTTATTTATTAAAGATAACGATGAACCTCTCTTGAGTGGATCTGGTGATGTATCCAAAGAATGTGCAGAAAAAATTCTTGAAACATGGGGAGAACTGCTGTCAAAGTGGTAAGTTATAATAGCATAGTTCTCCTTTTCATCTGCAATTCTCATTGTATGTTTAGAAAATCTTAACTAAAATATTCAGTTTGGAACCAATAATAGAAACTACATATGAGGCTTGCATTCTAGAGTCTCTGTTTTTAGAGGTTTATAAGGATAATAGTGAAGACCTGAAATCGGTTCTCAGAATATTAGAATCCTGGGCTGGGGTTGTAGATCATTGGTAGAGTGCTTGCCTAGCAAGTGTTAGGCACTGGGTTCAATCCTCAGCACCACATAAAAATAAATAAATAAAATAAAGATATTATGTCTATCTACAGCTAAAAAAATATATTAAATAAGGAAAAAAACACTTAAAAAAAGAATATTAGAAATCTAATAAATTCTCATTGTTGGAGAAAATATTTATACAAACATGGAACTTATGGGCAGAATAAATTAGAGAAGAGGTGTGTTAAAGAAATTAGCAACTGTTAACTGGTCAAGTGGCTAAGACAGTACACAATAATCAGGAAAGTTTAGAGGACGTTCACTGAACACACACAGGCCTTAGATGCGTCTTTATTTTCGTGGTATATACCTGCAGTGGCAGAGCAGAGTGTCAAAAGTATGGTTTGTTACCTGTTCTGTCAATTACTTTTCCTAGTAACATGTTTAAAACTCAAGAATTTCCCATCAGCTCAAGAGATGCTTGACAGTAATAAGAAGCGCAAGCCTCTACATTTTCTAAAAATAATACACCACCTCCAGGTACTTGTTAACATAACCAAAGATATTCTGTTAAGTCAGATTGGTGAGACATTTATGTGGTTTCCCTTTCTCCCTAGGTAAGATGCCAGGGAGGGAAAAAAGCCTGAGAATGGGTCTATTTCTGATGTTTTGGTTATTAGGGTAGTCATATAAGCTCTCTGTGGACCTACATTTTGGTATTTAATTTTTCTCAGAAGTTTTAACTGTTGAATTCTTTCACTCTATTCTTAGTAAAGCTGTGTCTCAGCATTAAAAAAAAAAAAAATAGGTACAGGAGAAAAAAGCAAACCAAAGCTTGGTTTGTCTTCACACAAGTGGTTTTAATACATGAACTCGAGCAGTAATTCTCATGCTTTTGATACTTCTTTACAATCAGGAGACAAAACTGCTGACACATTTGTCACAATTATACTTTCCAGTTCAGTCAGTTTGGAGGGTTTAGGTTGCTGTTGCCAGGAATTTCATCCGTATAAAAAGGTATCTGCTCTAAAACAAATGAATTCAGTCTTGACTTGGTTTCATAATACTATGTTTAAAACCATCTAGTATAGGATTTAGATTCTAGAATTATACTTCATTAGATTAACCCACCAGCATTGTATATAGTGTCTTAGAATTTGTTTTGTTATCATACTTCGATATTCATTTTGCTACTTAACAATCAACTGTCTTCCCATTCCTTCATGTATATTAATTAACTGAGTTTGTCTCTACTGTCTTCAGGTTGTTTAAACTGTATTTGCTTATTTTAGTCTTCAGATATACTATTATAGCCTCTCTTCATTTCATGATTATTTTTCCCATTATTTATATATGTTTTGCAGATAGGAAGCATTGTAATATCATGGAATTTTAGAGCCTGATGTGGCATCATATCCTATCTTCTACTTCCTGTAGGGTAGCGTCTCGGGCAAGTCACTTAACTCTTCTAAGTGTGTTACTTCATTAAGAAAATAGAAGTCTATAAAACTAACATTGAGGATTTTTTTTAATTTTTGAGAGAGAGAGAGAGAGAGAGAATTTTTTAATATTTATTTTTTAGTTTTCGGCGGACACAACATCTTTGTTTGTATGTGGTGCTAAGGATCGAACCCCAGCCACACCCTCAGCCCACATTGAGGATTATTACAGATTAAAAATAATGGTATATCATCATTATAGTAATCATTAATAAAAAACAATTTACCATCAGCTAGGCAGTATACTAAGTTATAAGTTATATTTCAATTCTAACAACTTAAGAACTGATATCCTTTTATTGGTACTGGGGATTGACTTCAGGGACACTCTACCACTGAGCCTCATCCCCAAGCTATTTTGTATTCTATTTGGAGATAGCGTCTCATTGAGTTTCTTAATGCCTTGCTATATATTGCTGAGGCTAGCTTTGAACTCATCCTCCTGTCTCAGCCTCCCCAGCTGCTGAGATTATAGGCATGTGACACCCCACCTGGCATCTGATATCCACTTTTATAGGTGAAACTGACTCATAGGTTAAGCCATTGTAATTAGTAAACTGTCAGAACGAAAATTGTTAACACAACAGGTCTGATCCCAAAGCTGGCTTACTGAACTCTGTTTGGTTTTAGTGGTGGTATTAATTAATATGTCTTTGAACTGTAACTCTTCAAGTTCATTTTAGTGTGACTCTTAGCAGATATGAGGTCCAATGTTCTCATTATAATATAGTATGCTGAGTTGCATAGATAAAGTTAATTAATATCAATGAAAAAATTATTCTGGAAGCAATTTTACCACTATAAATTAAGTTAGGGTTAGCAGACTTTTTTGTGAAGGGCTAAATACAACTGTATTAGACTTTGCAGACCAATAATAATCTGTCACAACTATTCAGTTCTGCTGTCATAGTGTAGAAGCAGTCATAGATAGTACCAAAACAATTAAGCGTGGCAATATTTCAATAAAGATTTGCTTATAAAAAGAGATGGTGGGCTGTATTTGACTTAAGAGGCTATAATGTACCAATCCTTGAATTATGTAACAGACTACTTTTGTTTTTTTTGTTTTTTTTCTGCTGGAAACTTTTCAACTTTTCATTCATATACATGTAAACACACATGCATATATATTGAAATCTAAGCAAGGAAAAATATTGAATTGTCTGTAGCTCTCACATTAGGGTACAGTTTCATAGAATCAATCATTTTTAAATGTACTCCACATTATTCACATAGAATTCTGGAAATCTGAGAAAAGTCTCACCTCTTTGTAATTTGATAGTGGTTCTTTTGTGGCAGTGACTTCAATCTGATACTGACTGGAGCTCTTCTTTGTAAGGATCCTGCTTCATTGACTATTAATAGTGGCTTTCAAATGAAAAAAAAAAGAGCATTCATTGGTCTTAAGAGTTTGAGAACTACCTCAGTGATTTAATTGACCTTCCTGACCTTTTTCTCCATCTGTAAAACTAAAGATACTACACCTACCCTAGATGGTTGTTATAGGGTCGAATGAGATATTGTATGCAGAAGCACTTTGAAAATCTATACCAACATTTTAGCGCAGGCTTTATTTTCTTAATTTTATAGATGATATAAATGAAGCATAAAGACTTTTAGTAACTTGGTTTTTATTTTTGTATGGTACTGGGGATCAATTCCAAGGCCTCACATGCTACCGCTGAACTACATCCCCTGCCCTGGTAACTTGTTTTGATGTAGCAGTAGTGTACTAGAAACAATCTTAGCTACCACAGGTATTTGGAGAAGTTATGTGAAAGAAGATATCATGAAAATTGCTGAAAACATACTCAGAATATTTTAACTTAGAACATATAAATATGCAGTTCACTTGTCAATTTTAATATAGGGCCAAGCCCTTATCTTTAACTATGTGCTTGCTAGTTGCAACTTTGCTTTCTGTCTTTCATGATGCTTTTTTTTTGGGGGGGGGCAGTGTAGGGGATTGAACCAGGGCCTCACACATGCAAGGTAAGCGTACCACCAAGTTACATCCCCAGCCCTGTCTTTTCTTAGATGGGCCATGACCATAAAGCATCCTCTGTTGTTCCCTGTTTTTCTTTTTTTTTTTTTAAGTAACAATTGAAAGATAGTTAGGAAGCCGTTTTCAGAATTCATGTATACTTCTATTTTTTCTTTCACCTATTTTGGTCACATCTAATCCAATAGCATTTCATCTTTTTCTTTATTATATTGCCTTTCGAGTATTTAAAGACAGTTTTCCTTTTATAAATTTATGAGTTACAACTTTATTTTTAGGCACCTCAACTTGAGTGTGAGACCAAAGCAATTGTCATCCTTAGTAAGAAATGGTGTCCCTGAGGCTCTTCGAGGAGAAGTCTGGCAGCTGCTGGCAGGCTGTCACAACAATGACCACCTGGTAGAAAAATACCGAATTCTTATAACAAAGGTAAGGAAACAATAATTCACCTTCAGTAGTAATGCTTTTAGAGATTTGTAATGAAAGATCATTGTGACTATTTGACTTCCAAGAATTTTTTGTAATTTCTTTTAGAACTATTATACTTCTAGTCCTAAGATGTTTCTTCTGTTGGCACAAAAGCACAAGGTTTTCTTCCTTGATTAGTTTACCTTAGAGGGAAGGGATATCATCTAACCTACAGTACATTTGAATTCTTTTTGATAGTAATTACATTTTCAGTCAGGTAACTTGTGCCATGCAATGTATAGTTCTTATCACATTTCATTTGGTAGGGATCCAGTTTCTGCAATTGTGAGTAAATAATTCTGTAATCTTTTTTTTTCAATATTTTTTTTAGTTGTACACAACGCCTTTATTTTATTTATTTTTACATGGTGCTAAGGATCAAACCCAGGGCCTCACATGTGCTAGACGAGCTTTCTACCCCTGAGCCACAATCCCAGCCCAATTCTGTAATCTTAAACCACATTTGTTTTTGTCTCATTCCTCTAAGTGAAAAAATCCTTATTTTTTCTGTATCCCTTTCTCAGGTTGAGGTGTTCTTGAAAATTTTGCTAACAAAGCAAGAAAAACTATTACTGTCTGACACACAAAGTTATTTTCTGCAAGATTAGGAAGTCTTTTGTGCCTTTGAATGCCCTGAGTTCCTGGTTTTAGTTTTAGTTTTCTCAAATTCTTCAAATGTTTTTCTTTAGGAAGCAGTTTCCCTGGTGGTATGCAAATCAGAAACATGAGTTAAGAATGCTTTGCTTAGAATCTGCAGTAATATTTGAGCATTTTTCATTGTGATAAAAGGTGAAAACTTTTTTAAGTTAAACTTTATAAAATATAAAGATGTTATTTGAAAACAAACATAAAACACCTTATTAGGGGTACAGCATTTAAAAATGAAAATTGAAACTTTGTTCACCAAAAAATTATTTTTCTGTTCTCAGAATATTAATGTTCCTTATCATCATCTTAATTCCAAACAGATTTTTGTTTATTTCACAAAGTAATATGCTGCTTCTTCTTATTATGTTGATATAATTATCTTAACCAGCATTTATTGGGCATCTGTTACAATCACAGTCCTGGAGCTAAGAGGTTAAACATGAGGGCAGTTGTCTATCATGTGATAGAATATGTCTGAAAAAGCACAATGGGAACCATCAAAAGGAGTGATTAATTTAGTCTAGGAGAACAGGGGAATCTTTATCAGGAATACAACATTCTAAACAGGTTCTAGAAAAGAGCTCCCAGGCATAGAAGGATGGAAGAGAAGTTTATTATCCACTAGAACGAATGAAGGCATCAGAGAATGAGGTTACATAATGTGTGAGCTAAAAAGATATGCACAGTTGATTATTTCCTTTGTTGGCAGAGCATGTTTTGGATTTGTAATACTGTCTTTCTAGTTCTACTTTGGAAGTCCTTTGAAATGTTTCGCCAGAAATGACACCCTCCCCCGCCAAATGCCATTGGTACTTGTTAACTATACAGAATGGTAAAATTATTTGATCAATTTTTGCTCAAAAATTGTTTCTTAGGAGATTATTGCTTTAAAGATTGTTGGTAAAAACTCTTCAAATAGATAATCTAAAGACATAAAATATCTGTGATTGTTTATAAAAATGATAGCATGTTTGTAGAAAAGGAACCTAGCAGTTATGTGATGTGTAAAAGACCATCTATTAACAAAGTCTGCTATATTTGAATAGTGACTTATATACACTGGCTATATGGACTTTATATTTCACATTAAACTTCTGTTATTGTATGTTTGGCTAGAACCTTCAAAAGGTTTTAGTTTGAGTTGTTGTTGAATGATCAGAAAACACAATTTAATCATAATAATACTGGTGAATGCTCTTTTTTTAAACACAGTGATATCCTGTGAAAGTTGGTTATTGTCCCAGAAACAATATTCATCCTTATATGGAAATGGTTATAATTGACATTTTTGAACTTAATCTGAAAAAAATTTTTTTAAAGGAAAGAGCACTACTTTAATTTTTTTAAATCGATTTTTATAGCAAGGTATAATTTAAAAGGGCAGAATACAACTCGAAAGTGTACAGCTTTATGACATTTTCCATATAATACACTGCTGTGATTATTGCCAAGAGCAGGGAATACCCATCACACCCCTCATAATTATTCTTGTCCATTTCTAGTCATAACAAACACTTCTATTATCACTGTTGTGACTTTTTCTCTCTTTAAACTGTTCTTGAACTTCATTAAAATGCAGGTATACAGTATATACTTGTTTGTATCTAACTTCTTTTGCTCATTCCTTTTGGGAGTGTGTTAGAAGCTCATTTTCTAAATTTGTTTTCATTGTTTCAATTGCTAGGAATATTTCATATTAATAAGTAACACTTAAAAATCCATTCTACTGTTATACATATTTGGATTTGGGGTCCAATTTTAGCCATCATGAATAAAGCTGCTGTGAATGTTCTTGCAACTGTAGTGGGATTTGTACATATTATTAGACATATTTGACATTTACCCATATTACTCAATTTAAGAAATTATTGTGAATATGGCTTCTTTACCAGATACATGCTTTGTAACCTATAGTTTTACATGTGTTATTATGTTACAGTTTTTAAAATTTGCTTAGCTTCTTCAAAGACTAAATTTACAATAGGAAAAATAACTTACTGAGTGAAAGCACAAAAATTGATTTGGTAAAAAAACTGATGAATGTTTTTCTCACCATCTTGCTATAATTGTCAGTCGTGTCTTGTGAGGGGTACACGTAGGACTTTTTTTGAATATCTTTTTTTTCCGCCCTTTGGTGTTGGGAATGGATTCCAGGGCCTTATGCATGCTACGCACGCACTCTGTCACTGAACTACATCCCCAACCCCACATTCCTTTTGTGATCCAAGGATAAATGATGTTTTTAGTAACACAAAATACATTGCATATTTTTAAAGGTGTTTCTTATAAGCAGTGAAGTTATTTTGGAGGCATTCTTTTCTTTCTACTTTCCTTTTGAAAGTGAAAAGTGTTTTATTTAGGCAAATGACATAACAATAATAATAGTTACCTTTTTTGAGTGCTTAATGTGTGTCAGATGCTACACAGAGCATTTTATATCCATCATCTCTTTAATCCTAAGAAATTCCTTGTGAGGTAGTAATTACTATTTCCGTTTTAGAAAAAAATAAAGAAATGTTGACTCACTGAGGCTTAACAATATGCTATCATTCACTTAACTAGTAAAGAAGTAGAGGCAGGATTTGCACCACTTAGTACTGACTCTACCTCGAATTCTTTCCCATAATCCTATTTGTTTATCTTCAAACATAAGTAAAAATTTATTTACAAAAATGTATATATACATAATTTTATGGAATCACATAAATATGCTATGTTCATTTTTATTTTGCTTATTTTTAAGTGTAGTCTTTTCTTCACTGGTGGGCCTTTACTTTGTTTCTGGTTTTTAACTTTAATTTTGTTCTTTTTTTTTAAGTTTTTTTGTTGTTGATGGACCTTTATTTATTCATTTATTTATATGTGGTGCTGAGAATCAAACCCAGTGCCTCACACATGCTAGGCAAGCGTTCCACCACTGAGTCACAACACCAGCCCCATGTTTTTAGCTTTTAAATAGTGCTTTACTAAATATTCTTATACATGTTCTAAATCTTTTGAGTTTCATGGAAGGGTTGTAGGAACATGAATGCTAGATCAAAGGGTGATGTATTTTTAAAACTAGTTAGTTGGTTGGTTTGTTAATAGTTGGTACTAGGGATTGAACCAAGGGACACTGTACTCTGAGCTACATCCCCATTCTTTTTATTTTTTGAGACAGGATCTTGCTAAGTGACCGAGTTGGCCTTGAACTTGATATCCTCCTACCTCAGCCTCCTGAGTAGCTGTGATTAGAGGCATTACCAAGCCCAGCTTGGTTATTTAATTTTGTATTTAATTTACTTATTTTCTGTTTGGCTTTCAGGATGTGGTAGATTATAGTTCCACTAGCAATGTAGTTCCACCAGCCAACGAACCTATTGACATATCCCAGCCTGTATTATTATTATTGTCATTGCTGTGTTTAATTTTTGCTATCAATAGATGTGATACCAATGTATTGTTAGTTTGCAGTTCCCTGACTGCCAATAAATATGAGTGATTTTGCTCTTCTGTGAATTACTTCTTCATATTCTTTGTACATTTTTTTTTTGCTATTCACATTTAAACAATTTTTTTTTGTTGTAGTTGGACACAATACCTTTATTTTTGTTTATTTATTTTTATGTGGTACTGAGGATCAAACCTAGCTTGCACAAGCTAGGTGAGTACTCTACCGCTGAGCCACAACCCCGGCCCCATGCTATTCACATTTTTTATTGGTGATTATTACAGTTGTACATAGTTGTGGGATATGTTGTTGCACATACATGCACACAATATAACAATATAATCCGTATGTTTTTCCATCCTTAAGGTATAGACCGAGGAGTGGGATAGCTGATTCAAATGATGGTTCCATTCTCAATTTTCTGAGAAATCCCCATACTGCTTTCCACATTGGCTGCACCAATTTGCAGTCCCACCAGCAGTGTATGAGTGTACCTTTTCCCCCACATCCTCGCCAACACTTATTGTTGTTTGTATTCTTAATAGCTGTATTCTGACTGGAATGAGATGAAATCTTAAAGTAGTTTTGATTTGCATTTTTCTAATTGCTAGAAATGTTGAACATTTTTTTCATATATTTGTTGATGGATTGTATGTCTTCTTCTGAGAAGAGTCTGTTCAGTTCCTGGGCCCATTTATTGATTGGGTTATTTAGTTTTTTGGTGTTTAGATTTTTTAGTTCTTTATATATCCTAGAGAGTAGTGTTCTGTTTGATGTGTGTATGGTAAAAATTTGCTCCCAAAATGTAGGCTCTCTATTCACCTCACTGATTGTTTCTTTTGCTGAGAAGAACCTTTTTAGTTGAATCCACCCCATTTATTGA